AACCTTCATCACTCAACAGAATGCAACTAGAAATAAGGATAGGCTGATCAATGGCTTTTGGTCATTTATCAATCAATCAATAAACATTTATTAAACACCTACTGTGTGCCAGGTACTGTGCTAAGTGATAGAGATAGAAAAAAGGAGGCAAAACATAATCCCTGCCCTCAGAAAGTTTCTAATCTAATGAGAGACCAAACAAATATGTACAAACAAGTTACATATTTGCAAAGAGGAAATAATGAAGAGAGAGAAGGCATTAAAATTAAGAGGGGTTGGGAAAGATTTCCTGTAGAAGATGGGACTTCAGCTGATTTTAATATACAGGGTCTTTACATATAGGTTTCCACAGCTATCCAGGTTTCTTATTTTTTACTTTTCCATGCTAATGAAGTAATTTACTAAAGAGCCTTTCAGTCCTTCTCTATAAAGTAATGATAACAAGAATAGAGTTTGCATATTAGTTAATCCTCTCCAAATCCCTTCACTACAGATAAAGAGTATTATCTTAATTTTTCAGATGAGGAAAGTGAGACATAGTGAGGTTAAATGCTTGCCCAGCACCACATAATAAGTAAAGAGCAAAATAGAAGTTATCACTCAGTGTTCCCCACTCCAGGTAATGGGCACAAGCCCCAAGGCCATCCTGTAAGTAACCGGTAAAAAGCCAGAAACAATTGATGGTAAAGCTGGCTCAGGTGTTTGTCTCTAACAGCTAGAGGAGGGTTTCTTTTTTAGGGGGAGAGGAGGGTGGGCAGGGTGGGAATCAAGCTAAATAATTCACTATTTCTGCTAAATATACTCACTGATTGTCCTTTTTTTTCATTTTTAACTGGTGAAATTTATTTGATCAACTCACAGTTTTTCATGAATTGTCTTGATCCCTCATGTATGATCGGTAGCCAGTCATGGATGAGACAAAACAGATGGACAGCTCAGGTGGTACATTGATACCCCTGAGTGTCTAAAAGAATAAGAAGAATGCCACCATCAAGGGTAGATCATCTAGAAAGAATTTATAGGAAAATGTAGACTAGAATCACATGAGATAAGTAGGCGTGGGGATATTGAGATCTTCAATATGGCATAGAAATAAGCAATTTGTTCCCCCAACCCTTTCCATGCTCCTTCACTGGAATGGAATGGGATAGATTCATGATTCACACATCCTATCCCATTTCCCCCCAAATCTTAGCTTGCCATGCTTCAAGAGGCTATGCTGCACTCCCTTCCCTCAAATGTGCCCATTCTATAGTCAGTCCCTAGAAGTTGTGTGATTCTTCTGAAAAAGTCATTGCTTTCCTGTTTTGAAGGTTGTAGAACTCCCCAAACTATCATAAACGAATATCGGAAATCTGTACTTGTTCTATTCTTTTCATCAAGAGAAGGAGGGGGAGGAAGCCCTCTGCTTTCAAATGTCAAACTCAGGCCTGGCACTGGATAAGATCTCATCTAAATGATTCCCAGCTTAATAACAACATGATATGCTAATGTGTCATGGTGGAAATTCTAGAGACTTTTCCCCTCCATTTCTCAAAGATGTCTTTACTCTTTGGGGGCACAGAGATATTTTTTCATAATTATTTCTGGTATTTTACTTATCAACTCGTAGCACCCTCTGAGAATAGAATTAAGCAGTCAGTCTCCACCAGAAATGCTGCGACAGACTAAATAATCGTAGCAGACTCTCTCTGGGACTACACAAAACAAGGGTGCAAGTTGCATACTCAGTGTTTCACAGTCAGGAGAAACAAGAAATACTTGAGCTGTTAATGCTGCCCAAACATTATGATGGCAAATTATTCCCCCACGAGATAAAATAACAGTGGTGTGACATTTTTTTTTCACATCGATACTGTCTTTCACCAAACATTTAATTGAAAATAAGGGTTCTATTTGAAGGGGGGGGCATCCTGGATGATTTGAGAGGTGAGCTTTTCAAAGAAACATCACAATACAGTAGGGAATGAGCATTTCTGAAAGGAAGCTAATGTTTTATTTGGGTACCACCTAGTGGCACTGTGGTGAGACTTCAGCAAAAGGGGAAAGAACCAAGGAGCACAGGAAGCACTATCACTAGTGAGTATTCTGCATATCTTTTCTCTGATTTTAGTTGATTTTAGTCAATAATCTGAATTTAACTGAACATTCCCTAACTCTCCTTTTTTTCCCTGCTATTTTCATTCTATCAGGAAAGGAAAGATAAGGTATTACCACCTTCATTCATGTGCATTAATCCTTGAGATTAGAATGTGATCTGGAGAGCAAGGATCGTTCCATTCATTGTCTTTTAACCCCCAGCACCTAACACAGTATCCTGTAGCACCTGAAACAGTAAATTGTTTATAAATGTCTGTGGTTGATTGAGATTCTCATATAAATTACCAAAGAACAATGACTCCTCCAGAACTACATAACAATCAATGGCAAAGTTAACCAAAATTGGGATTATAGTATCATAAAATTTAGAGCTGGAAGGGGACCTTCTAGAACTCTTAGTATTTCTTCATTTCCTCATTCCTTCTTTCTTCCTTCCTTCCTTCTTTAGACAAAGGTCCTTTTCACATAAGCCTTCAAGGACATTTGTGAAAGAAATTTTAAAAAGAGAGGCAGAGAGTTGATTTGCAAGGGACTGCAAAAAGGTATTGACATTTAGGATGTCTTTTCTTTAAATTCCAAGTCTGGAGCTAAGTCAGGATTTGGGTCCAGGAAAAGATGGATCAGATAGCTGCTACAGACCCAATTCACTGCTTAAAAGAACACTGGTAAGGACTGTTGCTCCCCAGCCAAAGGAAAATAGAAAAGGGATAAAGATAAGGGGAAAAGGAAGTATATGAGAGAGGGCCAGAAAAAAAGCCTTCTGACTAGGTATCCCCCAGGTCCCCAATCATTAACCCGGCCCTTATTCTATCCGGTGGTAATCAGCTTGCTCCTTCCATTTAACCTTATGTCAGCCCTGCATGAACAAAGCATGTTCCACTTAGAAAAAAATCTCCTAGAAGAAACAGTTGCTATTTTCTAATAATAATAATAATTTTAAGCTAGGGGAAGAGGAGAAATATTTTTCTCCATTTTCTCTTCAAAATGAGTGTGGTGATAGGTGTGGCAAGAATTATGAAATGAGTACAGTATTTAATCCAATTATGATTAAGTACAGTCACTTAATCACAGCTGTAATAACGATGCATGTACGTGTGGGTATTATTCCCAAATCTGTGCCATATTTATGGCATTAGAGAAACATGATTATGTCCTTTCCTTTTCTAGCCAAGATGATGAATTCTGCAAAGTGCTTTGAATGATGGTATACATAAACTCTCTTTTTATAGAAGTGTCTGAGATGGGGATGGGCACACAGTAGGCGTTCAGTAAATTGCTTTTGATGATAATGATAGTCGAAGAGCTAATAAAAGATAAAATGGAACTGGAGAAGAACACGGTGAAAGGGAGAGCATTAAACCAAGGAACCAAGACTAAATTGAAGAAGGTAAAAAAAAAAAGAGGAGGGAGGAGAGAAGTAGGATGAATCACAAAAATTAGAGATAAAAAAGAGACTATCTACTAGGCCTTCTCGCCTTCTGCTCAAATGAGGGCAATTCATTTCCAGTTTATGGTTTGGACTGCTAAACCCTTCAAACATCATACTCTGTCTGGCTACATTCTCCTGAGATAATCCCTGAAAGGATGATAAGTGATCAAGAAAAATGGGGGTGAGCCTAGTAGATTCTTTCAAAGCTCAAAAGCCAAATTTTATGGAAGGAAAATCATTTGATGTAGATGGTTTGGGACTTTTTATTAAGTGCTTGCAAGAGCTGTTGCCCTGACAGCTAACAACACTGGGGCTGTGATTTATTCACCGTGCTGATGTAGCCGCAGAGACAACAGCCATACACACTTCCCCCCACTGCCCAGCCTCAGACTTTCCATTCACACTAGCACACTACCTCTAGGGGTTATTATCATCATTTATCATTCATTATTCGCTGGGCTGCATCCTTGGGCTAGGCAAAGCCAGAAGGGAGAAAAGGGATCTAGGGTCTGGGGTTGAGTCAGTGTCTGGATTTGTGATAAGACTTGTATTTAAGAGGCCGCAAGCTTCAGTGTGACCACCCGGATAGTGGGGGGCCCAGCTCAGGGAGCTGGCTCCCTTCCTACCCAAGTCACAAAGCAACCTTCAACTGAGAATCCTCAGCTGCAGGAAGAAAGGGGACTCTATGATGAGGACAGAATCAGTTCTCAGTTCTCTCACCCCTGAATTTATTTATCCCCAAATTTTTAATCTCCTTCAGCTATTTGAAGGGGTAAAAAAGATTATCAGAAAAGATACAGAAAATAAAAATTAAATTAAATTAAACAATAAACAGTGTATTATTTTTAAATTTCACAAAATAGAAATTGTTTCTTTTGCAATGTTCTACCCTGTTCTTTGCATCTTGAAATAATTCTGTTAGTTGATGATTAAGTTCACAATAAAAATAACTTAAAATAAGAAGAAAAAATTAGAGGATATATATGTGTGTGTGTGTATACTATACATTTTATATATATATATATACATAATATATACATATACTATGTATAACAGTATATGTATATATAATATATACAATATAAAATATAGGTGTATATATAATATATTTTATTTGTATGTATATATCTTATATGTATTTTTATATAGTCCTTAGACAAGTCTTACTGTGCCTTGCTTCCATTTGCCCCATTTCTGGCAATCTGATACTTACCTACCTGAGTACCATTCATTGGCTCTGCAGTTATTTCTCACTCTTTATTGCAAAAGAAAAGTCTGTATTCCCTTATGCTCACTTTTAAGTGGAAGCCCTCTTATGGGCTTTTTCCCTAACTCTCAGAAACATCATATGATTGGATTTATCTGAGCTCTCATCTGACCTTTATTTTCTCAATGTAACATGAGTACAATAATAATTGATAGGGCACGATCCTAAGTATGACATTTCAATGAACTGGGTAAACATCATTACCTGGATTCAGCCTCAGTGGCCTGTTACGCAGACCAGAAGGCAGGTTGTTGCCTGCAATTTCCTGAAGAGGATCATTAATCTGCCTGCTCAGCAATGAGGATGGGGAAGGCTTCAACTCAGTTCAATAGTACTGGTTAGTGTCTGGCAAACAGGCCAAAAAAAAAAAAAAAGAAAGAAAAAGAAAAAAGATACCATTTTGCTCAGAAAAACAAAACCAAACCAAACCAAAGCTAGACAATTGGAGGGATCAGGAAAGGCTTTATGCAGAAAGTGGTGATTGAGCTGCTTCTTAAAGGAAGAGGAACTGTATGAAGCAGCAAAATGGAGGGAATACATTCTAGATATGGGAGAAAACCAGTGAAAAGCATAAAGATAGGAGATGAATTCTTATATGTGAGAAACAGAGAGAAAGTCAATTTCATAGATGCCCAGGATATATGAGTGTGGGTAATGTCCAATGAGGTTAGAAACATAGGTTGGGAAAAGGTTGTATAAGACTTTCAGAGCTCAACAGAGATGTTTGCATTTTATCTTAGAAGCAATAGGAAGCCACTGAAATTCACTGAGTAGGAGAGTCACATGGTCAGAGCTGTGTTTAAGAAAATTACTTTAGGGGCAGCTAGGTGGTGCAGTAGATAGAGCACCAGCTCTGGAGTCAGAAGGACCTGAGTTCAAATCTGGCCTCAGACACATAATACTTCCTAGCTGTGTGATTCTGGGCAAGTCACTTAAGCCCAATTGCCTCACTGGGAAAAAAAAATTACTTTAGCAGCAGCATGTAGGATGGACTGGAGTGGTAAGATACTTAAGACAGGCAGACCAATTAGGAGGCTGTTCCAATTGGTTTCGGAGTGAAAGGTTCTAAATTTAGGCGGTAGCTGAAGAGAAGTGCAGAAAAGGGATCAAATGATGAGACGGCAGGAGTTGGCAACCGATTGGACCTATGGAGTGAGGAGATGATCCAGGAATCATCCTGGGAACCTCTGATCTGAAGGATGGTAGACTGCATCAGAAATAGGAAAGTTTGAAATAGTGGATGGCTTAAGGGGGTAAACAATGAATTCTGTTTTAAACATAGGGCATCCAGTTTGAAGTGTCTAATAGGCAATTGGTGGTCGAGGACTGCAACTCAGAAAAGAAACAGCAGCTAGATATATAGATCTGAAAATCATCTACATGGGCATTTATCCTGTAGATAAATGCATGGAAGCTGATGAGATTACCAAGACAGAGGCATAGAGGGAGTTTAGAGGGAGAGTCCAGGATAGAACCTTGGGGTGCATCCATATACAGTTAGAGTGTGTAATACAGATGAAGAGCCAATCAAGGGGTGGCTACACAGGTAAACGATCAACCAGGACAGAGTAGTGTCATGAAAACCCAGAGAGGATAGGGTATAGAGAATAATAAGACATTCAGCAGTGCCAAATGTAATAGACAAGTTGAAAAGGATTAGGATTGAAAACAGAGCTTTGGATTCTGCAATTAAGAAATCACTGGTAACTTTGGAGAGAGCACTTTCAGGTCTGATGACATTGAAAGCCAGATATCAATGGGTTGAGGAGTGAGTGAGGAAAGAGGAAGTAGAGGCATCAAGTGGAGTGATTTTACAAGGACTTTGGCTGAAAAGGGAGGAGAGATATAAATTAATAGCTTGAGGGGATTGTTGGATCTTTGAAGAGTTTTTTAAAGATGAGGAAGACAGGTATGTTTGAAGAAACCACTTGATAGGGAGAAGCTGAAAATTTGAGAAAGAGATGATTAAAGATGCAATCTTCCAAAGAAGTCTATCAGCCAATAAGCATTTATTAAACACTTACTATATATTAGGCATTGTGCTAAGCACTGAAGATACAAAGAAAAGAAAAAAGAAAGTCCTTGCTCTCAAGACCTCATAGTCTAATGAGGTGACAATATATAAAACCACTATTGACAAACAAAATATATATAAGATAAACTGGAAATAATTAAAAATAAGGGAGATCAGGAAATATTATAGAAGATGAAATTTTCACTGGGACCTGACAGAAGCCAGGGAAGCCAAGAGGTAGAGATGAGAAGGTGACAGGTGAAGAAGTCAGTGAAAATCTCTGGAATAGAGAGATGGAGGGTCTTATCAGAGAAACAGTGAGGAGCCAGGGTCACTGGATAGCAGAGTATTTAGGGGGAAGAAGGAAGGTGTAAGAAGACCAGAGAGGTAGGAAGGGACTAGATATGAAGAGCATTGAGTATCAGAGGATGTTTTATTTGATCTTGGAAGTGATAGAGAGACAGTGGAGTTTATTGAATGGGAGGAGTGGTGTGGTGTGTGACATGATCAAACACGGGCTTCAGGAAGATTAATTTGAGAACTTAGTGGAGAATGTTCTAGAGTAGAGAGAGACTTGAGGCAGAGAGACCTACCAGTAAATATTGTAGTAGTTCAGGTGTGAGGTGATGAAGGTCTGTACCAGGGTAATGGCAGCATCAGAGAAGAGATGTCACAGGAGGTGATGGGATCAAGAACATCCATAGAAGAGCTGGCTTTGGCAAGAGGGGCCGCCTCATTGTCAGAGCCTAGGGAAAAGGAGGAAATGGTAGACAATGATGTCAAGAAGTTTTTAGATAAAGAAAAAGAGAGAAGAAAAAGCTCACATCAAGTGGCCTCAGTCACCTATCTCTTATTGTTATCAGAAAGGAAGAGCTTCCTATTCTTTCAGACATCTTGTCCTTCTCCACTAAAGGAATTATATTTTGTTTTCAGTTGTGTCAATTTTTTTTTTCTGTTTTCCATTCAGAGATGCTTTCTTTTCCTCCAGGTTTGATCTGGTTATGATCTTTCTGTAATCACAAGTATCTGTGCTTGAAGAGGCGGCTGACTCTGCTTCCTAAGCTGACCAATGCCTCACTGGAACCATAGAATGCAACACATGGAAAGAACCTTCAAGATCATTTATTTTAACCCCTAATTTTACATAAGAGGAAACTGAGGACCAGGGAGGTCAAGTCATTTGCTCAGGGTCATACAAAGCTAATCAGTGTTTGCTCACATCTCCTGCCTCCTGGTTCAGGGCTATTTATACTATACTACACTATGTCCCTTCCAAGGAGTGTGACATGTGAGTGTCCTATTTTACTTTCCACTTCTCTGAAGAGCAAAAGCCCCACAAAAGCCCCACAAAACTGTCATGAATGACTGTTAGGCAATATTTCAATGCAGTGCCCACACTGATTCCTTTTCAGATGAAAAGAAATTTGGGAGCCTGAACTATCTGGAAATATTTAATAGAAATACATTTCTCTCTCATCTTCTTAAGGTACCTAGGTGGTGCAGTGAGAACACCTGAGTTCAAATTCAGCTTCAGAGAATTAGTAGCTGTGTGTCCCTGGACAAGTCATTTAATCTCTTTCTGCCTCAGTTTCCTCATCTGTAAAATTGAAATAATAATGGTACCTACCTCCCAGGATATCCTGTGAGGATAAAACAAGATAATATTTGTAAAGTGCTTTGTGACCTTTAAAGTGCTATATAAATATTAGCTATTATTATTATCATTATTATTATTATTATTATTATATTATTTCTGTTTTCTTTTTTTTCTATTTTTTCTAAAATCCCTACCATCTTTATGCTGACGCAAATCAAATCAGCCAACATTTACTGAGGGACTACAGTGGGTTTTGTACAAGAAAATTATGACCTAATGTCCCATCTTTCAGAGAAAACACTCCTAAAATACCATCAAATCCCCTTACGTTGAGGCAAAAAAGTTGAAATAAGAATAACCACAACTCACATGTATTGAGGACTTTGAAGTTTTCAAAGTACTTTCCCCACAACAACTCCATGACAGAGAAGTAAAGTGACTTAAAGTCACATGGCTAGTAAGGGGACAAGGCAGAACACTAACCTAGGTCTTCAGGCTCTTGACCAATGTTTTTCTGTTATACCACCAAGTCTCTCAACCTTACCCACATTTTCTAGCCCACATCTACTTAGTAATCAACAGCATGTACTCACTAAGACACTTGTCTAGAATTAGTAGTGGGACCATGCAATGACACAAAACTAGTTGGCCTAGATGGGGCTTCAAACCACAATGCTAAGACCACACTCTAAAAAACCAAGGCACAAATGTAACAAATGTGAGAAGGTGACTTAGTCATGTTTTCACACAATAGTAGAGGGCATGACTTACGGGAATATTAAGGAGAGCATAGCAAGTCATGAAAGGTTTAAGGGACAAAGAGCAGAAAGGACAAGGAACTCAGAGATAACTAATGTTCCTCATAGTATCATAGACCTAGACACACAGGATGCCAACTGAGGCTGTCCATCACCTCTTCTGAACGGTTTCCAACCAGTCACTGCATCATCATAGATATTTGGAAAGAAATACGATGTCTTCTCATCTGCCATGATAATTTAAAACTAGTCTGTTGTAATTAGCAGTATTCCTGCTTCTTATCTTGTATATGTTCTAAATTCTTTACTAGCTTATGAACCAAAGTAAATCAAAACCAAAAGTATTTCATGAGAGCCTACTTTGTGCTATCAAAAACATATCACCTAACATTTTCCAAAAATATTATCAGCAATTTGGATGAAGTTATAGAAGGCATGCTTTTCAAACTTTCAGTCACTATAAATAAGATACAGTTTTATAGAGATAAATGCAAAGACACACTTAGATTCAAAAAGTCATTTTCACAAATTAAAAATGGGAGAGATATGGCTAGACAAAAATCCCTATGATGAAAATCTGGGGGGTTCAGTGGACTACAAGTTTGATGGTGGTGGTGATGGTAGTGGTGGTGGTGGTGGTGGTGATGGTGGTGATGATGATGATGATGATGATGGATAAGATAATGATGATATTTGTGTAGCCCTTTAAAGTTTTTACATTAGGTCAAAAACAGCTAATGAAACTTAGGCTGAATTGAGAGGCAAAGTATCCAAAATATGAAAGGTGATAATTCTGCTATTCTTTGCCTTTATCAATTTATGCCTATAATACTGTGTTCAAGTCTGGGTACCACATTTTAGGAAAGACAGACAAATTAAAACTTCTCCAAAAGAGGATGAAAATGATGATGATGATAATAAAGCTAAAAGCTGTTTCACATGAAAATAGGTTGAAGGAACTGAACATGTTTGTTTTTTAAGAAAAGAGCCTTGGGTTGGGAGTGGGACCCCTTGATAGTTTTCTTCAAGTATTTGAAGGACTGTCACATAGAAAATAGAGAATGGTGTTGTGTTGTCTTATAAAACAGAAAAACAGGGGGAAGTAAGACCAGTTTAAAGAAAGCTTGTTGGCAAACTCAACTAGTCAAATTAATCCCAAAGGATAAAACCAGAAGAACAACAAGCAAGTGAAAGATGGAAAACAATCTGCAAAAAAAATTAAAACATTTATAACATTTATATTTATAACTATCACGGATAGCGAAACCACGACACTTCGTCACAGTCCTGGATTCTTTTATAGAGGAAGCAGAACTGGCGCTAAAAAGACCAAATATGGATAAAGGAAACAAATTAGACCACAAGAACATAAAAAGGACCCATGCCTATAGCATTACAATTATGAGGACATTGAGGGATCTCTTCATATGGTACATGAAGGAGAGGAAAGATACAAAAGACATGGAAAAATCTCAGACAATAATAACAACAAAGGGAAATTAAAATAATATCTACATCTCCTACCTTATATCTCCACTTCACCATGCATATATACACATACACACACACACACATATATATATACATATATAATATATATAATTTTTATGAGAATGATATAGATGCACATCAGTGGAATCTTTAAAAAGGGTATTAGTGCATAAAAGGTAGCTTTTCACCTGTGATATTACACAGACTATATTTCTACCATCATAAATGACTGAAAGATGTAAAATATAAGATACCACTGTGCTTATTTTTTGTTGAATATAATTCAGTAATAAAGAAGCATGAAGTGCTTACTTTGTGCTGGTCACTGTGCCAAGTGTTGAGGTTACAAATATAAAAATGAGATAGTCCCTGCCTTCAAGGAATTTACAAAACACAGCCTTAGGTCTCTTCTCCAGCAAAGTCCCATAGATATGTTAAAATCGTGAAAGACTCCTTGAAAAATATAACAATTAGAAACAACTACATTCAATGACACTAATAATATCAGATCATTCACAAAACAAGGAGACAAATGTTTGCCAAAAGGGTTCTTCACTGTCCTAGGGAAGATTCACCACAGAAATCAAGTTGTGAAGATATTCTATACAGATTATGAGTGCTCCATGTGTTCCTGTTTTTAAATGACCTTGTGCTGGTTGCATCAAGCCCTGAATATTAAAGATCCTCCAATACATGACCCATAGGCACTTGAAAATGTTTGGCCTAACAGTCCACCACGTAGCAAAAACTAAAGTAATGACGTATTCCTATTGCCCAGACTTTGACATGTAGTTAAACGGACAGCCTATAGAATTAATCCATGAGAATGAATAGAATGAATGAACAGAAACTGCAAATGGACATTGGGCTCAAGCATAAATGGGAGTAAAGTTGGCAGTATTAACCTTAAAGAAATAGCAAAGTTCATTTAATAACCTCAGATTTGTCCCTGGAACAAAGGACCATCTCTTTTATATTCTACTAGTGTTGCTGTGTGGCTGTGAGTCATAGAACACTGAAGTCTCTGAAGAATTTAAAATGATTATCATTCAAAGGGCAATGGTGAGGTACATGGTGGACTTGAGCTTAGTGTGATTTATTACAAATCAGGAACCACAACGACCCAAACAGGGGTGGGGAACCTGAGGTCTTGAAGGGACACATGGCGCTGTAGGTCCTCAAGTATGGCCCTTTGATGGAATCCAAACTTCACAGAACAAATCCTTTTATTAAGGGGATTGATATGAAGAGAAAGTGAGGAAGACTCCAGCATATTGCATAAACTCTCTGTGAGAAACTTAAAGGAACACGTGGGTGAAGTTCACAGGATGGGCAGGCATAGATAAGTTGTGATCCATATCTTCAAATAATCTGCATTTGATCCATCAGTCCTTCCTACCTCTCATTCTATTTCTCTCCTCCCTTTTGTAGGTAGACTCCCAGAGGAAACTGCCTACAATTGATGCCTTCACTTCCTTTCCTCTCACTTTCATCCTAACTCTCTGAAGCTCGGCCTCTGACCTCAGCATTCAAGTAGAACTGCTCTCTTCAAAGTTACTCATCATCTTTGAGTCACCAAATCTAATGGTCTTTTCTCAATCCTCATCCTTCTTGGCCTCTCTGCAGCCTTTGACACAGTCAATCATCCTCTTATCCTTGATACTCTCTTCTCTCTAGTTTTTGTGCTACTGCTCCCTCCTGGTTCTCCTCCTACTTGTCTGACCACTTCTCAGTCTTTCATTGGTTCTGTTGCTTTGTGATCTCATCAGCTCCCTTGGATTCAGTTGTTATCTCTATGTTGATGATTCTAAGATCCATTTATCCAGCCTAACCTTTCTTCCAACCTCCAGTGTTAAATCCTCAACTGCCTATTGGACATTTCGAACTAGAGCTATCTTGC